TTTTCTTCACTAGAACAGTATCTCTGAAACATGAGAACTGTAAGACTCCTGCTAAAGTCTCAAAAAAAAAAACAAAAACAAAAACTCATGGCCCTTTAGTCTTCCTACAGCAGTCCCCCTTTCTTTGCGGTTTCACGCTCTGTGGTTTTGGCTACCTGCGGTCAACCGAGGCCCCAAAATAGGTACAATAAGATATTTTGAGAGTGAGAGAAACCATATTCATGTAACTTTTGTTGTAGTATATTGTTAACATTGTTCTATTTGATTATTGCTGTTCATCTTTACTGTGCCTAATTTATAAATTAAACTTAAAAGTTATATACATATCCGGAAAAAACATAACATACACAAAGTTTGGTACTATCTGCAGTTTCAGGCATCCACTGGGGGTCTTTAATTGTAGGGTAATTTAATTTGAAATAAAGCATAAATCTAAATGTAAATAAATTCTTTATGCTTATGTACTTATACAACTAAGACAAAATCAAATTCATAAACACAAATAAAGCAATACAACTTAAATATAACATGCCATTTAATATTTCACAGCAACTAATAATGGTTTAATAATAAAGATATGCCTTCAGGTGCGGTTCTAAAGCTTTCCCTGTGATTTTACTTCAATTGTGTCACTGCAGAAAATGCACGTTGAACTTACTAGCAACTATGTTGCTAATTCTGGATAATCAGATCTCTCACTTAACCAAACAGCCAGAGACTAATTCTTGAATGCCTATTTACATAAGGTTCAACTCTCAGCTCCAATATTTAATGGATGACCCTGAAGAAATCACTTTACTATCTGGACCTCGGTTCTTTCATCTGTACAATGGGTAGTATAACACTCAGGTAAAAGATAAAGTATGAAATAATAAACATAAGTTACATGTGTATTTTAGTTATAACTAAATCCAATCAATCAATACTAGAGGAGAAGAAGTAATAAAAAAACTAAAAAGAAAAGATTATAACCTTCCAACCTGGTCTATATCCCTTGTCTGGTATCATTCAGTTATTCACTTCAATAGCACACTCAAAACCACCATAGATGTATCCTTTGTCCTCTTAACTTCCCTTCCCATTCCTACCTTTCTCCAACACCCAATCTGAATGATATCCACTTTTGGCACTCATGACTTACAATTCTGGGTGTTGAACCTCTCTAGAGAAAGTCATAAAACTGCTGCTCAGAAATCTCCTGGTTAACATACCACAACTCCCTATAACATTCTTCCACAGTATCAAGGCCAAATCTCCATACTCAAGCTCTCCCCAACTCTTAGCACATGACCTTTGCTCCTTCTTACTGAGGAGCCACGGAATGAGTTCCACTCCCAACTGAACTGTTAACATAGCCTATGAATTCTACTTATGGATTATTACCACAATTGAGTTACTTCTCCACTTTTGACCTTCATTATCTCACATAAAATTAGGATAGTCTAAATGTTCTCTTTACCTCCATTCTCTTCTCTCTTCAAACTTCCCACTACGAGATTAAAGTTCTCTTCTAAATTTTATTACTCCTTACTTAAAAATTCTTCAAATATTAAAACAATCCACAATTGATCCAAACTAACCTTTCCCATTCATCTACTAAAATTGATGTCTGCCTAGGCAAATCAAATTCCTTAACACTTTCTCAAGCATACCACACATGTTCCCATCTTCATTTCTTCACCCTTAAGTTACTACCTGGGCATTCTTTCTTGGCCTGTCTGCCAATACTGTTCTATCAAAATCATTCTAGAGAGCAATTTTCAGTACCACAATGTGTTTAAAGACATGCAAAGATATAAACAAGACGATTTGACTTCCAAGGACTTTCCCTATGAAATAAGTAGACAAAAATGCTTTACCAAGCATTATTTAATGGTGAGCATTCAGCAACATGTCGAATAGCTGAGGAACTGGTGCAACGGCCACATATACACACACTATGCTGCATCAGTAGTATGTGTATACCTCCATTATATACACATTATGCATGTATAACCATTATTTTATTACATGTAACTATAAATCAATATGCTAACAATGGTTTTCACAGGTATTTAGTGTGACTTATTTTCTTCCTTGAGCCTCCCTGTATTATCTGAAACTTTCAGTACATACACGAACTTCCTTTTGATTTTTAAAGTATGACTCAAGCAAAAACAATGGAAAGAATATTCAACACAGGATTTCTTTTCTTTTCTGCTTAGAGAAAAATTAGTCCTTGGAAAGTGAAGGAAAAAGGCACAGTTTAGCATTACTAAAGCAAAAATAAGAAGGAATAACAAAAAAATGAAGCTGAAAATTAAATCTTAAACAGGAGCTCTATATGACACATTAAGTTACTTGGTCTTGACATTTTTCTGTAGATGAGGAACAAATAAACAGTATCAAACAAGAGAAAGACATGTTCACATTTTCAATGCATATTATTGTTTAAATAAAACAGTAAAGCCGGGCTCGGTGGCTCAGCCTGTAATCTCGCGCCATGGGAGGCTGAGGTGAGTGGATTGCCTGAGCCTGCAGGTTCAAGACCCTGGGCAACTTGGCGAGACCTCATCTCTACAATAAATCAAAAATTAGCCAGGTGTGGTAGCACGCGCCTGTAGTTCCAGCTACTTGGAAGGCTGAGGTGGAAGGATCGCCGGAGCCCAGCAGGTCAAGGCTGCAGTGGCCGGGAGCGGCCACTGCACTCCAGTCTGGGTGACAGAGTGAGACTCCAACTCAAAAATAAATAATAAATAAATAAATAAATAAAACAGCAAAAAACAGAGGTAAGACAAGAATGAAAGTAGGGAACACAGGTAACCTACTGCAACAGTCTTCAAAGAAATAAGGAGGGCATGAACTAGAGCAGCAACATTAAAAATTTAGAAATACCTAAGTGGTAAAATGGTTAGAACTAGGGTTTGGCTAGATTTGAAGGCAAAGTCATAGGCTTTTGGCTTCAAAAAACTGAAAAACAAAAAACAGTCTACAGAAAAAAGGTAAAGATTCATCTTCTCGAAATAAAATTTTTCACACAACCTACACTTATACAAAGACTTCTCACTGTCCTTTTTAAAAAGTCTATAAAGTGTTTAGCCTAACACTGAAGGTCTTCCAAAGACAGACTGAAACTTAACTCCAACTTCATCTCCCACAACTTCCCTAAAGAAGCATATGTTCTAGTTAAACTGTGTCATTCTCATAAACATTCCCACCTCTGAGCCTTTGCTTTTACAGGTTGAGTATCCCTTATCTAAAATACTTGGGACCACCGGGCTCTGTGGCACAGCCTGTAATCCTACACTTTGGGAGGCCGAGGTGAGTGAATTGCCTGAGCCCGTAGGTTCAAGACCCGCCTGGGCAACTTGGAGAGACCTCATCTCTACAATAAATAAAAAAAAATTAGCCAGGCATGGTAGCACGCGCCTGTAGTTCCAGCTACTTAGAAGGCTGAGGTGGAAGGATCGCCGGAGCCCAGCAGGTCAAGAATGCGGTGGCCGGGAGCGGCCACTGCACTCCAGTCTGGGCGACAGAGTGAGACTCCAACTCAAAAAAAAAATAAAAATAAAAATAAAATAAAGTAAAATAAAATGCTTGGGATCAGAAGTGTTTTGGATTTCAAATTTTGTCAGATATTGAAATATTGCATTATACTTACCAGTTGAAGATCCCAAATTCAAAATCTGAAATGTTTCAATGAGCATTTTCTTTAAGCAACATTTCAACACTCAAAATTTTTCAAATTTTGAAGCAGTGGGGATTTTGGATTTTCAGATTTGGGATGTTCAACCTGTACCATTTTCCTACTGGAAATGCCCTTCCTTTCCCATAATCAAATTTCCCTGTTCTCTTCTTCCTCTCTGGCCCATTACTGCAGAAAGTACCAATTCTCGATCAGTATCTTTAACTTGATACCAACATCTCACATAAAATCAAAACTAATACTGATTTGACAAAATGCTTATAATGAATGCCTCCATTTTGGGATTTGACAAACCTAAAAAACTAACACAAAAAGTAAACAGTAATAACAAGTATGTTCTATTCAGAAACATCAATGAATGAGGAATTCAAAAAACTGAACTAAAATATCATTAAAATGCCAAAACTTTGTTTTATCCAAATGTCTGCTCTCCTTACTCTATGAGACTGGACTTTTACTTCCAGATACTGTCAATATACCTAATTTCTAGCAGCTAATCTTACCTCTTTCTTCTTTGTGTTTGACTTATATATACTAGACAATTGAAATGTCAAACCCATTAAAATCATACTTTAAAAAAACACACTATTCTAAGGGAAGTTGTAGAGTAACCCAGGAGAAAAGTGAATGAGTTTTATTACTTGTACATTTATGATATTATTTTTCTTGCTCAGAGGACACTTCTGTTTTGGTTCTCCACTACATTCTAAAGAGTTAATATTGTCAGAAAACGTCCACCACAGTGAGGTGTACCACTTAATGATCATCTCAACACAATTTTCAAGCAAACATTATACAAACTGGTAAAATATAAGAACTGGGACTCCTACCATCAAAGAGTTTACTATTCAGTCAATGTTAAACAGAATACTCTTCTAAAACAGTATAACATGAGCACTTTTTAAGCCATGCAGGACAACAGAAGAGATGATAACACAGCTGTAGAGCTGTTTTAATTAATTACAAATGACTGGGAAAAAACAGTAAATGATATAGAAACCCAAAAGAGAAGATCTTTTTTTTTCTCTTTTTTCCAGGTAAGGAATGGAGAAAATTTAAAAAAAAAAAAATTCTGAAAAAAATGTTCAACAAAACCTCAAGTGAGGTTGAACCTTTTGATCACAAAGAAGAAAATCTGGTGAAATGAAATTCCCAAAATTTTTGCTATAGTATCACCCACTGTTAAATTATTTCATGGTAATGTTTACAAAAATGAATATTAATACAGAGTTAAGACAAGGCTAGTATAAGCTACTTATCCATCTGTTTTTTAAAAATGTAAAACATTTACATAAAGAACAGAAAGTTTTCTTACCTTAAATATACCAACCCAATCTTTTGGATGTGGATGGATATATGGAGTTAAGGTGTAATGACATTCCAGGTGTGCATTAGGAAGATAACTCTTAGCCACATTTTGAAAGATGACATGGGCAAAATTGGAAGTCTGCAATGGGACTTCTTGAAAGGATGTCATTGTGAATCTGAAACAAGTAATTCACACAGGTTAAATGATACCAACCAACAAAAAAACTTACAACTTCAGAAAATAAATGACATTTAATCCAAATCACATGAATATTTACATATAATAATTACTGAGAAAATAAAGACACTTTTCAAATATTGAAACTTTAAAATGTGATTATATATAAAAATACAGACATACTGAGAAATAACCAAGTCAATACGGCTCAGAAAGTTATATGGAGTTAAAAAGTTAACAACAACAAAAAAAAGTCAACTCTCCTGGAAAGTCTCGTCCTCTGCTTCCATTTCAACAAAAGCAAATGAATCAGAGGTGTGTTCGTACACGCTGCCAATATAAACCTGCTGGACCCTAGTAACAGACACTAAAAAACAGGAGCAAGGACAGTTAAAAGCCAATATTTTATTGGTTACTGGTCAATTAACCTTTCCTTTCTATGTAGAACCCTTAAACTTCTTCATTTTCCTCCCTAACCTAGCCTATCCCATCCCTCTCTCCTCCTCTCCTCTCCTCAGGTCCTAGGGTCCTATAACTAAAACTGATGCTAACGTCTCTGTGCCTGCATTCCTGCTTCATGTCGTGATCCCTAGGACCAGCATTCCTCAACCCTGGTTACACATTAGAACCATTAGGGACCTTTAAAAAAAAAAAGAAAGAAAGAAAATGACTTTCTGGGAGTGGGGCTTGGGCATGTGCGCATATATGTGTGTAAATACACATATATTTTCCCCTCAGTCTCTCCAAGTATTTATTCTCAATCCTGTATGTAGCCACGACAGAGAACCACTATTCAACAGCCGAAATCCCCATTATCACCTCTCACTTATTTCCACAGATCCCAGACCCAGCCCACCTTATTGGGCTTCTGGTACGAGCTTGTGCAAATCTCTCAAACCATGTGAATCTTACTTGATCTATTAAAATAGCTCAGTTTATTTGTTCCTCTCTACCTATAACAAATCCATCATTGCATTCTGATTTCAATGACCCTACTTTGATTTCTAATACTCATGGACACTTTCCACATATTTACTGATTTAAAACTTACATTAAAAAAAAAATACAGTGTCAGCAAAATATATACGGTTGAAAATCTATTAGAATCCAGTGAATGCTCACTGGCTTAGTGAACACCAAGCACTGAATAGCAGCAGAATGGTGAAGTGGATTATAAAAGCTACACCCAAATGTTTCCCATATTTGGTGCTCTACTTTTGAGAAAAAGGAAATGAATAGGGATTTACTCAAAAAAGCAATCTGCAGAGTATGTCACAGGCTCAGTACAATCACTGATTCTACAGGACACATGAGAAACTATGACTGATCTTAGAACACTTGCTTCTGAGTCATTAAAACAGGAATCTCTGCACTAATGGGGAAAACTGGGGCCAAATTTTTGCTAACCAAATTAATCTAATTTACTTCATAAATCAATGAAGTTTTTACAGAGCAAACACAGCAATAAGACTCTTCTCATATTTTAGCCATTATTAAGAAGGCTTACTGCTACAAAGACCTAAGGTAGTTTGCTTTTACAACTGTTTCTTTTGCTGACCTGTTTGAAATACTATTTTTAAAGTTTTGAAATAATAAGCACTTTAGAAAATACCAACTTTTCTTCCTGAATCCCCTCTGCTTCTGTTATGGTCAAAGTCCTGCTTTCTTGAACAATATATTGGACATTCCATAAAGAGACTGTTGATCATGGACCTGGAAGCCATTGTGGTAGAATACCAAGCTAGTTGTCTGTTAGCCTCCTCCCATCTGAGCTGTGCAAGGATTTCAAGGCAAAGAGCACATTCAATAGCAATCCTTCTCAACCTCTGCACTAATCAAAGGACTTTACTACCAGCAACACTATTTCATGAAAGGACTTAACAGTAAATACGCCCCACCTCGTACCTAAAAGCCTTCAGAAAAAGGAAAAAGTAGTATTTACATATTATTGGAGGAAATCTGTCTAAATTGAAGTGTGCTTTCTCTGAGTTGTCTGAGCTAATCTGGGCCCTAGGAGGAGGTCATGACACTAAAGAAGTCACTAATGATGATCTCTTTTCAAGTCAGTGCCTTCACAAAGGGAAAACAAAAACAAAAACAAAAAAAATCACCAGTTCCAGTTCTTTTAAAAAATATTCCATAAGATACCAAAAGAGAAACTGTAGTTAAGTCAGTTGAACTTTATTCGCTACAACTCCCAAATCTGAGTTAAGAGAATCAGTAATATTTTCCTATGAAGGGAGCAAATATTCAGGTCTCTTTGAGAAAGATAATCAGTAAGGAGGAAATAAACTAGCTTGGAATAAGCTTCCCATGTTTTTAATTAAAACTGTTTAAAGATGAAATATTTTCCTTAAAATTTAACATGTCATTTCCTAAAGTAAACAATCAACAAAGCTGTAACTATTTCTTTATAAAACGAGGCAATAAAGCCAGGCATAGTGGCTCATGCCTGTAATCCCAGTACTTTGGGAGGCCAAAGAGAGAAGACTGCCTGGGCCCAGGGGTTCAAGACCAGCCTTAGGGTTCTTGGTGAGACCTCATCTGTACAACAAATTATAAAAATTAGCAGGGCATAGTAGCACGCGCCAGTACTTTCAACTACTTGGAAGGCTGAGGCCAAAGGATTACAGTAGCCCAGCAGGTAGATGGCCCAGTAACCCAAGCAAACCACTGCACTCCAGCCTGGGTGACAGTGACACACCAACCCAAAAAAAAAAAATAGGCCCTCTGTTTCTCCTTCAGTAAGGACATTGGTGTTAAGGTCGACAAACCTGTCAAGGACAATAACTACCATGGCCTTCCAATGCTTTGACAAAACCTCAGATACTGGCCTTCTAGGCGAACGTCTGCGGTTTCATATTGTTGGAGCATTCATTATATCCCTGGGGGTTGCAGCTTTCTATAAGTTTGCTGTGGTTGAGTCAAGAAAGAAGGCACCTGAGAAATTAGGATTCCATGAAAGACTGAGATGAGGAAGGCTGGTATCTTTCAGAGTGCAAAGTGATTTTTGGAATATGAAGAATTTCTTTGGGTTGAATTACATAGAAGTTTGTCACTGACCTGTGTTCCTGAACTATGAAACACGTTATGTGGGTTAAGTAATAATTTCTCTTGATAAACAATTAACAAAAACAAATAAATAAAAATGTCGATAGAGTTTAAAATTTGTTGAACCTCAATTACAACAGTTCTCTAAAAACCCATGATCCAACCTTATATTTTTTTTAGTTCATAGAAAAGTTGTTTAGGTATAAAGTAGCATAGAGGTATACACATATATTTGTATATGTTTATAAATGCATCAAAAAACTCAAAAAAAGTAAACACCATTGAGTTAATAGGCTTTACTTAAAAGGGATGTAGAAGAAGGAATTTTAAGGACTTTAACTTTTAACTCAATGTATTGAGTTTATTGTTTGAGTTTTTCTAAGCAAATATAAATGTATTATTTTATTGTTTTAAATAACTATATTAACATGAAATTTCACTTTTAAGCCTTCCCCCCAAAATTCAAGGTTTTAATAGAAAACACCAATATTACATTTTAAATATAGTACTCATGATGTTTATAAGTATGAAGAACAAGGTAATTTGTGATACTCCTATTAAGTCTTCATTAATCTTTAACATTCCTTCTTAAAATTTTATTGCTATTATAATTATAGAACTATTTTACAAGTCATCCCAATATCTTTGGTTTTACTTTTCTTATTAAAATACACTATAATTACTAGTAATAAAAAAAGTTAACATGGATGAACCCAATCTGAATATAATTACATCATGAATCAACCCATTTTAAATAGTAAAATAAAATGTCTAATTCCCACACAGTTTCTCTTTCTCTGGTTCAATATGAGAAACAGAGTGAAGAGATGCGCAAGCTTATTAAAATGTTAGAATTCACTGAGAATGTCAAGGTCATGCGAGAGTTGAGAAGTAACGTGCAAAGTCACTGCATCACCTTGTGGTCATGTCTGGAAGTGTAGCTTCTCACAGAAAAAGTGCAAACCTCACCTTAGTTGGAGAGAAGAAACACATCCCTACACACAAAGGGAAGGAGAAGGAAGTAGCTTTAACAGGCCAAATTCTGCTTCCCATTTCTTCAGAAATAGCAGCACAGTTAAGATGGCAAGCCCAGGATAAGTAAAAAATGTCCAGTCTACAATTAAGGAGCCAAATACATTTGGTTGTAAAGTGGTCTGAAATGCATACATATGCTGGCTACAGCATCCTCTTCTAGATTTCCTACTACATTCCCTAAAATTCTAATACCTCTAGAATGCCTTTATGTGTGCTGTGTGTAAACTGTGTATTATAAAATCTTTGGTCTAAACGTCAATTTTATTATTTTGGAAATGCATTAATGTCTTTAAAAAAGATAAAATACACATAGTGAGCACTCAAGTATCCAGCAAAACTAAACGTGAAGGAAAAATGCATTCCCGTGTTATCTTTACTTCCTCCTCTTGGAATTTTTTCAAGCCCAAAAACAGATCTGGCTTTTGTGGTAGTATTTTTCCAGTGACTCCTGATACTTATTTTACTTAACTTCCCAAAAAAACTTCAAGAAAGTAAACACCATAGAGTTAATAGTCTTTACTTATGAGGGATGTGTAAAAAGAAAATTTAAGGATTTTAACTTTTAACTCAATGTATCGGATTTATTGTTTGAATTTCCAAGCATATGTAAATGTATTATTTTATTGTTTTAAATAACCATGTTAACATGAAATTTCATTTTTAAGTCCTCCCCCCAAATTTTAAGACTTTAATAAAAAACACTCATGTTACACTTTGAATACAGTATTCACGATGTTTATAAGTATGAAGAGTAAGGTAATTTGTGATATTCCTATTAATAGCTTTCATTAATAATAACTCTTAATAATAGCCTTATTCAACATAGCAGAAAACAGACCATAGTAAGAACTTTTACACATCAAACATATAAAGTCAAATTAGGCTTTTTAATTTAGATAAATATTAAACATAATATGCCAGTCCCAACAATTAGAATTCAAAAAGAAATGAGGTATTTTGTTAAGTGTGATAATATGATTATAGTGATTTTATATATATATATATATTTTTTTTTTTTTTTTTTTTTTTTTGAGTTGGAGTCTCACTCTGTCACCCAGACTGGAGTGCAGTGGCCGCTCCCGGCCACCACAGCCTTGACCCGCTGGGCTCCGGCAAGCCTTCCGCCTCAGCCTTCCAAGTAGCCGGAATTACAAGCATGTGCTACCACACCCCGCTGATTTTTTGATTTATTATAGAGATGAGGTCTCGCTGCCCAGGCGGGTCTCGAACCTGCGGGTTCAGGCAATCCACTCACCTCAGCCTCCCAAAGGCACGGGATTACAGGCTGAGCCACTGAGCCCAGCTTATATATTTTTTAAAGTCTTTATCAGTTAGAGATGCTAAGCTAATTACAAGTGAACTGTCTTTACGTCTAAGATTTGCTTTAAAAACTCCAAGAGAGAAAATAAATGTTAGAGAGGGTAATTAAACAGGATTAGCTAAGTGTTGGTTCATTTTACCATTTACTCTTTTGTGTATGTTTAAATTTTTCCACAATAGAAAGTGAGCGAAACCAAAGCAAAAAAAAATGCAACGGATTAATACTCTTCATAGGACCTATTACAGTAGGAACATTGCATTTCAGAATACAAACACTTTGTGCCCTTAGAAATGTTGTAATTCAGGCAGTGGTTGCAGAGTTACTGAAAGTTTTTAAAGTCTTCAGCTTAAAAAAAAAAAAAAAAATTAACCTTTAAAATTATCTCCAAACTTTAGTCCTACAGAACACACAAAAATCTGAAAAGAAAAAATGTCTGGCATTCAAATAGTTCCCAATTACTCATACTTTGGCTCACACAAAGGCCCTCAACTATAAACAGATCTCTACTCCAGAAAAATGTTACCCGCAATCCTTCTGGGAGGCAGAAGCAAAGCCCCCAGTGTATTAATTTGCTCTCCAGCAAACATGGCTATCTCCAGAATCCTTTACACCTGAAAACACTCCACTCTGCCCAGGTGTCAACCACACCACTTTTAATAACGTCTCAGATTTTTTTATAAGTTGGTTTCTAAAATGCTATGATCTTTACCCATATATATTAGGGGAGAGGGAATTTGTATCTTCTTCTAAAGGTTTATTTGGGGCAAAATAAGTTTTAAAAAGTCAGAAATACATAAATCCCAAATTTTACATAACCATTCGAAAAGAATACAATCCAACATATTTCACTTGTAAGCTAATTCCCCCAAAGAAATATACAAGGAGTATCTCTGAGATCTTTCATAAATATTTAACATCATTAAAAAGGCTGTAACTTAGAATTCCAAAATGTCTTATTTGTTGTTATGACGCAGGTATTTACTAGTTAATTCTAAAAACATGGCTGCACTCATAATTGCAAACAGAGGTACGCACTTTCTAGGTCACTAAAAAACAAACACTACAATAAGATGTTCTCTAAAGTTTAACGATCAGGTTGCCAAAGGTGGGGGGGAGCTTAACATAAGTCATGCATAGCATAATTAAATAATCCTTCAAGAAATCAAGTGTACCCTTGAAAAGAACAGAACGAAGGAGAAAGCCTGGTCTCAGCTCCTTCTCTGAGTCTCAAAGCACTCAGAACAATCAGCCCAATTTTAAACTAAGGTTAATTTTAAATGATCTCTTTAAATGCTTTTGGAATTGAGCACCAAAATTATAATTAGTAACTGTCTGTGAAGAGTTCGTAGAAATTCTACTGTAAGATTTATTTTCATCTAAATCCCAAACACAATATCCATACATACATATTCGGTAAAACCGATAATCTAATACTGTATATGTATAAAGGCAAATGCCACCGCGTTTTCAAACAAGTTTTATAAAAATAATATGTAATAAATATTTATCAATAGACACGCACACACACACCAGCTGGGTTCTATTAGATTTCTCAAGCGACAAGCGCCGGTCGAGGCTTGTTCACAACTTGAGAACCTGCGGAGCGCTGGAGGAGGGAGAGTTCTTTTCTTGATTATGAAATCAAGAAAACTTGAAAAGCAAAAAAAGACGTGACTCTCAGATGATTTCTTAAAACACGCTTCAAGCACCAGGGGCCCCTCATAAAGAGATGAAGAGCTCGTTGCGTAGCCCAGGTGAAGCACAGCTAACTCCGCCCGCGGCCTCCGATGTAGGCGGCGCGGGGAGGCCCCGCCTCTTCGGCGACTCAAACCAAAACAGTTGGGTTTCTCCGCAGAGGCAAACGCAAGCGTCCTTTCCCGGCTCGACCTACATGTTTTCCCGAGCTTACCTACTCCAGGGGCACACATAAGGCCCTCAAAACAGGCTCCCCTGAGTTGAGCCTTGGACACGAGAGGTTTCTTTCTCGGGGGTCACTGGCATCACCCCCCCGCCCCCGCCAAAAGGCCCCCGTCCCACACGTCTCCCCCAAATCGTAAGGCCTATCCCGCAGGCCTCCCCGCCGTGGGGGAGGGTCACCAGTCGCTTTTCTAGTACCCCACGGCGAACCTGAGTCGCCCACACTCTCGTCACAATCGCAGTTCGGGAGGGAAGGTCTGTCCTCGGGAAGGAAAACAACGTCACCACGGAGACCATTCCCGAGACCGGCCAGACCCCCGAACTACAGGGACTGAGGGGCGTAGCACGAGTCCCCAAAGCGCCCCCGCCTGGGTCCGCCCGCACACGGCGCCGGGGTCGGCTGGGAAGGCGCCTTACCCGGTGGGAGGGCTCCCGAGGCGAGGCAGAGCGTTAGGCAGGCTTCCGATCCTGATCCGCCATCAGCCGCCGAATCCCTTCCGCCACTACAGCCTCCCAGCAGCGACCGGCTACACCTTCCCTCAGAGCTGAGAGTCGGTTACGTCACTTCCGCCCGCGGGGCGGTCTTGGCCACCGTCGCGGTCGCGTCTGATCCGCCCCATCCGCGGCAGCACCCCCCGCCCTCGCTCCCTGCTTGAAGACCCGAAGCCGGTGCCGAGCCGGGGTTTGCGCTCCGTCCTGCTACTTCTGTCTTTTTCTTGGTCCTTGCCGTTTTCGCTCAGCAACTTCATCATGACAAAAGAGTCCATTTGGATTTAATTTTTTATTTTATAATTATTTCAGCATACGAAATAGGGAGACACACTGGAGAGTTAGGTAACTTACTAGCAACGCGGAAAGGGTAGCCCAAGGGTCTATGGGTCGCTGCCTGGGTTCTTAAAAAGTTTGAGCTCACCCACCTGTAGATAAGAGAACCAGAGAAGTAAAGAGAGCGAACTCACGGGCAGGGCTGCAGCCCCTAACTCCACGGCCCTCCCTCGACTCCTCCTGCTCCAGTCCTTTGCTTTTTAAACGATGAAGTTTTGTTCGCTAAGGTCTCAGTTTCTACTAGGAGCTTTTCGACTCTAATGCTCCCTGATTCTGTGCGCTCTTGCTCCGGCAGTGGCCTCTTTCCCACGTTTCTGGGCTACCCTTTCCGCGTAGCTAGTAAGTTACCTAACTCTCCAGTGTGTTTCCCTATTTCGTATGCTAAAATAATTATAAAATAAAAAATTAAATCCAAATGGACTCTTTTGTCATGATTAAGTTGCTTTTTTTTAATCCGTATTCTTTGGGTGCGTCAGTTTGTCCCGTGTTCTCTGTTAAATTGCGATTTCTAAAATCACTTTTGACTGCTGAATACCCTCCTCTCTTAGTCGTTTAATGTGAATCCTGACTCTACGGAAAGGGTATGTTCTATTCGAATTCATCATATTCCTGTGCTGCCATAAAAGTCTGATAAAATTTGCAATACCACCAGTGAAGAAAGGATAATAAATAAAGTCGCGTTAAATGTTGAAGCACCTTCTAAATACAAAACAGACAAATCCTCTTTGCATATGCTTTCATCTTACACATATTTAAGATGACGTTAGGTTTGATAATATTGATAATATAGGTTCTCAGTATTTACTGATTTGATTCCTATGTTTTGACGTTTTTGAACTTGTTCTTGTGCTGTATATTGTACTTGATCATAGAATTTCAGAAGAACCTTCACAAGTCATTTAGTCCCAATTTTCTTCTTTTACAGATGAAAAAAATTGTGTAAATAATCAACATAAGTAATCACGAGTGTTACTGGTGGCAACCTTCTAGTAGTAGAAATAACTGCCCCTTAAATATGTAAATATGGCAGTGAACTTTATAAACACGGTTTTTCAGATGTCACTCTAATTTTTAATCACATTACTTATTTACATGTGGTAAATAATTGCCACTGATTTTCAATTAATGAAATCAGAAAAACAACATACTTAAAACCATCATTGAAAAACATTTTGTACAGGTGTTTTTGTCTTGTTACTTTTAATAATTTATTGAATTTTTAGGCCTTATTTTCCCCAAGAAGCTGTTTGTTTTGGAATTTTAACTTACTTTATTCATTTTAATTAGGATTCCTTGAATTTTTAAGTCATGTTTTGTCTACCAACATAAAATAGTACTTTACTGAATTTTTAAAAAATTAGCTAAAGTAATAGCCTGTTATAAGTATGGCAGTGTACTGAGGCTATAAGCATATGAATCCGCATCCTTTTTATGAATCCTTTCTGCCAGATGGATTTCAGAATTCAAAATTTTGCCGACTTTAGAGAGGACTTTAGAGTGCTTTATGTTATATGATATCCCACAGGGTCTGGGGCAGTATCTGTAATCAAGTTAATGTGCTTTCAGGAAAATTATGAATAGCACCCTAAGTAGTATAAATAAATAGTCTCACTACAGTTCAGATCAGGTTTTGCAACTTTGCTCTTGGTTTCACATCAAGTTAAGTTTTAATGACAAATGAGTTAGGACATATTTTGCCTCAAAATGTTAGGAAATTTTGATTTTCAGAGCTTTTTGGATTTCAAATTGGTGAATAAGTGATTATAGACCTATTCAAATAATTATTGGAAAGCAAATCAGTGAGTAACCCACGATATTTTTCTGGAGTAATTACAGTTTCAAGTATTTTGTAGGCAGTTGTTCTGACCTATATTACCTATCCTTTGCTTTGATTGGGAAACTATGCTGATTGTAAGAGACACTGTCCCTTTATTAGAGGAACTTAGGATAGCAAAGAGAAGAAAAGAAATAACCCATGAAAATTTAGGTAACTAATGTACAAAAATGAATAATAAGATATTTAGAGATGAGGGCACTTAGTACAGACTTGTGTTAGCAGTAAGCTTTTCATGGAGGAGGCAGACTTTGACTGTTAAAGTTAGAAGGGGTTTTGATGAAGAAACTGAGGAGGAGGAACTTCCAATCAGGATATAAGAGCTTGGGGAAAGGAGTTAGGTAGAAAGGAGACTATTAGCCAAAAATAACATTTCCCATTTATGGGGGGCACCATACTTTCTAAGCACTGTGCTAGATGTTGAGGTTGTCTCTACTTCTCATAGCAACCCTGTAAGGTATTCTCCCCGTTTTGCTGGGGAATGTGGGCTCAGAAAGTTCTAATAACTTGCCTGTGATCACTAAAAGAAAGAACCAGACTGAAACTCAAGTCAGACTCCAAAGTTCATGCATTTCCCATCATCATGTCACTTCTTAGTGCATTTTGTTCATTTACTATGTGCTCTGGGAAAAAACGAAGAAAGCATGAAAACTGCTTAAAATCTGGTCAAGATATTACAGGATAGTATAAAGTGATATCGAATAGTTAATTCTGAAAATAGCAAGACTTTGTAAAAGAGATTGGTCTCTAATCTTTGAAAGAGTGACAAGAATTGGGTAGAGAAAAGGCCTGCATAGTGAAAAAAACAAAAGGGATAATTAGTATAACATGTACTGAAAATTTTTTTAGAGTTCAAATAGGTATGTTTTATGAGTAACATCATTACAGGTTTTAAAAGCCAGGCAAATGAGTTGTCCTCAACTTTAAGAATTCATATTCAAGACTTCTTTGGCTATACATGATTCCTTAAAAAAAAATTTTCATAAACCATTGTTTTAAAAACAGCTTTTTTTTTTTTTTAAATGATGGGACATTAATGATGGTAGGTTTTAAATAGGCAGAGAGAGAGAAGATTCGAAATGCTCTAAAATAGGGTTATTTTCTCTTTTGCTGTTAGATGTTATTGATGACTCCTTGTTGCTTACTGATTTCCAACCTTTACCCACCCAAATGCTTGTAAAAACCTTTGACCCTTTGAGGTACATGCCATTTAGTTATGCCCCCCTTCCCTCCCTGTAGCTGTCATTTGCTGATCTCCAAGTCACTCTTGCTCATTCCTTGAAGACTGTCACATAGTACACAGTCTCCCTGTGCATTCCAAGCCCTTCAACATCTACTTGGATGAGATTAGTTAAAAGGTCAACATTCTGACCTTTTCATTTCCTGAATCTCTCATTCCAGTAATTTCCTTTACTCCACTCCACTCAAAACACCTATTTCTGTGGCATACTTTGGATCTTGCCATTTTTGAAATCAAGCATCCTACGGTTTGACCACAATGTCCTATTTTCTAACTTGTTTATTCAATATGCCCATTATAACAATTTTAAAAACTCATCAGAATCTCTAATACATTGAGCTTTCTTTTAATACTTTCCTCAGTATCCAACTTCAAGTCTATGAACTCTCATTTCATTAATTTTACTCCCAATAACCTAAATTCCCTTGACTTCACACATTAAGCACATCAAGTTCAATTTTCTATAACAAATGTTATATAAATTTTTATAACAAAATTTTCCTGTGGTCATCATATGCTTTGCCACTAAAGTTTATGTCTGGAAATACTAAGTGAAAACTTTGAAGTTAAAGTTGAGTGTCTTGGGAATTTTCCTGCACTATCAAAAAGAGAAACTATGATTTATGATATTAAGATACAGATCCTGCAGAGGTTTGTACTTTAGGTCAGAATGTTGTACTTTAGTAAGACCTTTGCCCTACCTTCCTATTAACAGTGTTCCTTGTTCCTTGTGCAAACTGGAAGGTCACTAGAATGTAAATATTCTCTAACCTCTCTCCCTTATCTTACTGAGAAGAGTAATAGCCAGCATAGTGCTTTGAATTCTTGAGGTACTTATGTCAACAAGATTCTTCCCTCTCAGTGTTTCATATTAAATATTTTTGAGTTACTCGCATATCAATGGCACTTAAAGTTAATAAAAATTCTTTTAAGAAACATTAAGGTAATCAGCAGGCTGTACACAGTGGCTCATGCCTGTAATCTCAGCACTTTGAGAGGCCAAGGCAGGAGGATTGCTTGAACCCAGGAATTTGAGAACAGCCTGGGCAACATAGCAAGACCTCGTCTCTACAAAAAAATCTAAAAATTAGCTGGGCATGGTGGCGCACTCCTGTAGTCCCAGCTACTCAGGAGATGGAAGCAGAAGGATCACTTGAGCCCAGGAGGTCAAGGCTGCAGTGAATTGTGATCATGCCACTGCACCCCAGCTTGGGTGACAGACACAAAAATAGTAATAATAATAATCTTCAAAGGTCTAATGTTAACAATGCCTAAATCAAAGTTTTCAGCTGAAATGTGTTTTTATTTTCATAGCTCTCAACCCCTCCCACCTTCTCAGGAACCTTACATGATCTCTTTTTTATATTCAAGCCCCCAATGTTCACTGGATCTTTCCCATTGTCTTTTATTTATTTATTTATTTTTCTATTTATTTTTTAATACATATTTTTTATTTTAAAATTGTGGGGTATAGATAAGGGTTACATATAGAAATATGCTTTGTGCAGGTACCCTTGTTGATGAAGTGTGCCCCCCATCCCCAGACAGATATTGACTACTGTTAATCCCACCTCCCTTCCCCTCCCTGTCCTCCCCATAGTTTCCTGCCACTGTCAATCCTCTTCTTATAGTATTGCGATAGTTGTTCAAGGTCCACTTATGAGTGAGAACATGTGATACTCAGAT